GTTCTTTTTGGATTCTCGGTGAGTTTGTTTTATGCTAAAGTGAGTCAATTATTTGTTATTCTGTTTAGAGTGCTCAAACTGGTGCTCCAACGCACGCTTGTATCACCGATGATCAATGCTCTGATGGACAAGTTTGTCTTTTCTAAATGAGCAATAGCTATAATGAGGCTAAAGCTTTCAACAGTCACATTAGCATGAAAAATTTGCATATAAAAAACTCCATTCTTGCCAAAATCCTGGCCAGTTCATACATCGGCAAAAATTTGCTTATTTTAAGAAACCAATCATTCATTGAAGACACAAGGATAAAGTTTTCCAAGTTTTAGTTTACCAAAACATTTCAGACTTGTTGCACACTTCCAATCGATGCACCCCTTTGTAAAATTGCCAAAGTAAGTAAAATTTAGTTAGCCGAAATAATAATGTTTTAGTGTGGCGCCTGCTTTGATGAATGCCCCTAAAATGAAGCCTCAAATCATTTCTCGCAAATAAATATATCCAAAATCAACAACAAAACAATTGAAAACTCAAGTAAAGCCCTGTTTGAATTCATTTATTCAGTCAAACAAAATAGATAGATACTTTATTTAAGCCATGAAATAAAGTGCGCAAGATTTAAGATTCATACACATGAATTCATACACATAAACACGAAAAGGACCGTTAAAAAGCAGCACGATATACAGGGCGCGCCATAAGTGTCACAACAAGATAAAGTTCTGTTTTTAAGGTAGACAAGAGCAAAAAAGACACATTTTTAACTGAATAACTGAATAACAATTATAAACCAACTATCAAATTTGAATCGGACACCATTAGCATTTGAGCAGGCTTGCAGGCGTTTCGTGAAGGCGTCTACCAAATAACGGTGGGCTGGATCTACCAAATAGGCTGGATCTAACTCTTCCCACGCTTTCAACAGTGGTTTCTTGAAACTTTCGATGTTTTTGTGGGGCTTTGAACGAGCTTTGACTTCTAGAGCCGACCACACTGAAAAATCCATTGGCTTGAGGTCTGGAGAGCTAGGTGGCCACTCAGAAAAAGAAATAAAGTCCAGGAAGTTGTTTTGGCCGAACTCTTGAACTTTCTTGGATTTGTGGTGCACTTGCACTTGTGTGTGTGCACTTGCATTTGCAACGCACTGTATTAGGCTGGAAAGAAAGGTCTCGGAAAAAGTTTGACTGAAGTTTCTTAAAAACGAATCCACCAATTCAAGAACATTTTGTTTTATTATTTACAAGTCGACTCCAAGAAGTTATTCTTTAGTGCAGTTTTTCCTTAAATTTTTTGAGATTTTTGAAAAATTATTATTTTCCAGCTTAAATTCAGCGCACTTTTTGTACAACAAAAACGATTCATTATGAGGTAAAGCTAGCATAAATGAGCAATATATCTCTATAATCTCTATTTTTGGTCAAAGATTTTTAACAAAGAAGCTGTATTTCAAAAAAATAATTTTTTGGTGTCATCTTCTTGGCACTGAGTGTTTACTAAATTTTTGAAAAGTTAGATAAATTTGGCTCATTTGCAAATTTTCCCTTTTTTAAGTGCTACATTTTAAGTTTTTAATAGGACCCATTACCTATCCACTAACCAATTAAAGACTTGTCTAAAGGCTGGCCACTCAAAAAGTGACCGAATCACTTCAGCTGAAGAAATCTCTTATTTTTTTGCCTAAAGTCCATTCTGATTTTCTGTCAAAAACTCTTCGAAAAAAGTCAAGTTTATCAAAAAAAGCTGGGAAGAATTCATGGCTTGGTTTTCGAGAAATTGCTGTTCAAAATTTGTGCACGAACTTTCTTGCCAGACTAATCTTACAGCTTTTACGGTAGCTCCTAGATTAAGGTTTGGCACAGCAACGTTACCCGGCATTCCACACAATATAAAATGGTTGTATTCCATCTGAATTTTTAGTTTTTTTCGCATGAGAGTATCAGTATACCCTGAAATAGCCACAACTATTATTGACTTCCCGTGAGCATGGATAGTTGCATCGAGAGGAGCGCTCACAGATACAGTTCAAGCACTTCTCGACATGTGTGTATGTGACTGTAATTTTGTTTGGTTTATGGAAACGAAACTTTTGCACTATACCCCTTGATTTACTTTTAAACTGATAACTCAATTCGAATTCAAAGTAGAGAACTAATTGCCGGTATTGATTAGAGTGAGCTCCTCTTGATTAATACTGTGAAATAGAAAGCGAATTACCGTAGAAAAAAGCTAAATATCTTGCATATTTTCAACAAATTTCAAGATATTTCGTCTATTTCTACCGTAATTCATTTCCTATTTCACACTATTAACCAAGAAGAATCTGTGAGCGAATACGCTTTTAAGAAATTTCAGCGAATAGAATACGACCAAGAATGGTCGTATTTCATCTGAAAATTTTGTTTTTTCACAAGAGAGTATCAGTGTACCCTGAAATAGCCACAACTATTATTGACTTCCGGTGAGCATGGATAGTTGCATCCAAAGGAGATACAAATCGAATACTATACAAATCTGTCGAATATTGAGTTTGGGTCCTGGAAAGTATTCTCGAGGCATTTTTCTCGCCTATATAATTTTCTGTTTGCTTGGTCTATTTGGAATTATGTTTGAGAACTAATCTCTTACTCTTCTTTATACTTGGTGAGTGAATTTGTCAAGAAATCAAAAAGGACAAATTTCAGGGATTTTGTCGTCATTGCCTGCATTCCTCACATCGCCTATCATATCATTAAGAGTGGCGAATTTTTCACACAAATTGTCATTGTGTCGATCGTTTTCTTGTGGTGCTTGGCTTGTTTTCCGTTTTGCGTTTTTCATTGCCGTCCCATGAGAATATGCAGAAAATGTTATTAAACTCAGGCTCTGAGCATAACTAAAACTAGAATGGTAAATACACTGTGGTGCAAAAGTCCTGACCGGTCGCACTGTCCTATCAAGTCTGAACCATTTCGCCAGAAAAAGAACGTTAAAATTTTATGGTAAAAACGTTTTTGGATAGCTTAAACCTTCTACTTTTATAATCCAAAGAATGAAAGCAATAACATTTTATTTAACAAAAAATTTTGACAATATTCCGAAACGACTCAAAAAAACATGGTGCAAAAGTCTTGACCGGTACAAGAAAACACAAGAAAATTCAATACTTTGTAGGTCCTCCTTTTGCGACAATGACTGCCTTGATGCGTCTAGGCATCGAGTCGACCAAATCACGTAGAATTCCCAAAGAAAGTTGTCTCCAAACATTTCTGATAAAGAAATAAGCATCGACCTTTGAGTTGAACCGGCGTCCCTTGAGTTTGGCTTTTAAATGGGCCCAAAGATGCTCTATAACGTTCAGATCCGGCGAATAGGGAGGTGCTTTGATCAATTCCACACGATGAGCAGCAAAAAAGCCGGGCAGGCGAACTTTACCTCCATTTGCAAGCCGGACAACTCGACCCATCAGTAATTGGCTTTTGTGGCAAGGGGCGTTGTCTTGATATAAGGCCCATCCTTGTGGCATGTTCGTGTTTGCAAATGGAAGTAAGTTGTTCTCTATGATTGACTTGTACCTTTGAGCGTCGAGATTTCCATCGATAAACACTAGCGGTCCCGATACACTTCGATTCATCGAGCCTAAAAAAGACAAATCGTAAGTAAAAAATAGGGCGAACACTTACCCCACAACATAATACTCCCACCACCGAATTTGACCGTTGGCTTAACGTATTTGAGCTTATAACGTTGTCCAATTGGTCTTCTGATTAAATGGTTACCGTCCGGGTAGTATAAATTAATTCTAGTCTCATCGGTAAAAATGACTCGGGCCCAGTCATCGGAAGTCCAACACTCGTAGTTCTTTGCAAAATCATATCTCAGCTTCCGAGTTTTTGCAATGGTCAAGGGTCGTTTTGCTGGTCTTCTTGCATGCAATCCTGCTCGAATCAAGCGACGGTTGATGCTCCATCGGGAAATATCCTTGCCAGAAACAGCTTTCAACTTCTTGATCCCATAGCTCGACGTTAGATTAGGGTTTATTCGGTGCTCCCTGATGATCGAACGATCCTCATTTGGTGTTGTAATTGGTGATCGACCTCTTTTTTGGGGCTCTATGAACGTTTCCTTTTGATTTGAATTGCGCCACGAGACGTCTCACTGTTTTTTCAGAACACTTGAACGTTTCCATCACATTCTTCACGCGAACGCCTTTTGTTCGATTCTCGACAATTTTCTCTTTGTCAGGCGTTGATAGATATCGTCCTGGCATCTAAAAAAAATAGAATTAGAACCAAAAAGTTTATGCAGAAAGACAAGAAATACCAAAAAAAAATCAAGAAATAAAAAACCGGTCAAGACTTTTGCACCATGTTTTTTTGAGTCGTTTCGGAATATTGTCAAAATTTTTTGTTAAATAAAATGTTATTGCTTTCATTCTTTGGATTATAAAAGTAGAAGGTTTAAGCTATCCAAAAACGTTTTTACCATAAAATTTTAACGTTCTTTTTCTGGCGAAATGGTTCAGACTTGATAGGACAGTGCGACCGGTCAGGACTTTTGCACCACAGTGTATTTGAATGAGCTTCGTGTTAAAGTTTGATGTTTATTAACAGCTAAATCATTGGTTTATTTTTGAGATCCTACAATAAGAATCATCAGCAAAATGACAATATTATGCCCGTTTTTTCTTATTCTTATTATTTTCTTCAAGGCGCCACCAATGTGCCCAAAAGAAGGCATCGAAATTGCACCGAAAGTGGATGAATTTGTTCAGTTTTAGTCTTCTCTCGTTGATTTTTCTAATTCTTTCTATTCTTAGTTTTAATCCCGATACAATTCAGTTTGATTTCTCAAGAATATCAATATGATCATCTGTCATCTGTTCGAGATGATTGAAGATTGAAAATGGCATTCTGTCTCGGACTACTTTACATTTGGTAGAAGTGTTTTTTTTTTAATTTCATCAGATAAAGTTTGAAGTTTGGCTAACTTTACGTCAGGGTTGGGATTTGTTTGTAAAAGATTTATTCGAGGAAATCATATTTGATGCCTTCGTTGTAACATTGGCTCACGTTTGCCACCGCTTGTTCCGTTGCCGCTTTGAGGCTTTCCTTTTCCGCTACACATCTTGGTCCTAAAAAAGATTACTATTCACTTTTCAAATCAGTTTTGGACTTAGATTCTGTGAAGCTTTGAATGTTAAAAAAGGGTGCAAATTAGTGCCATAGATTTCAACTAGGCTTGACTAACAATATCTCGAGGTCTTGATATCGATAAGCCTAGATAAGCTATCGATAAGTTGTCAGTAGTTACAATTTTAGGATTTATTATTTTCATGGGTGAAGCTTATGCTTGCTATTGTTATTTTACCGTCTAAAAATTAAGGATTCGATCTCTGGAATAGACAGCTCTCAAGAGCTTTCGAATAGAATAAACACACTCAAAAATATCAATGCTAAAGAAAGTTACAGTGGTTTGTAGTTAGAGTGTGTTCCTCTCAAATCAAATCGTTCAAATCATGATTTCTAAAAGGTGTTCGCTAGCAAAGTCATTTTCTAAAAACGCACTTTTCTAAACGCTTTTCTTTTATTATTTCTGAAAGTTTTACTTCTTTTTTTTCTATCCTTATCGGAATTTTATAGTTTTAAACAAATATGCATTTTTAGAAACAATAAACAAGAGAAGAAGCTGATCAACCAAAGGAGAAAAAGACGAGCAACGTGCCAGGACAGTTTTTTTCTGTATATTTTTGATATTTTAAAAATCCACCGGGGTTAATTGCTCTTCTTTAATGAAAGAACGTAAGAAAGAAGAAGAAAAGAAAAGACGAAAGAAAAGAAACTTTAGAAAATGAAAATAACTTTCTGTTGATGAACTGGGAGATTACGGTAGTTTAGCACTTTTTAGAGAACATGATTTGAGAGGAGCACACTCTATTTGTAGTCCTGCCTTGAAACGGACCGTACTCGCACGTAGTCGAAGCGATTGAGTCAGGCTACAAACCACTGTAACTTTCTTTAGCTTTGATGTTTTTGGATGTGCTTTAGCCCATTCGAAAGCTCTTGAGATTCTCTATTATTTGAGCTATAGATCGTGTCAATCCAACAGATTTGAATCAACTTAGAAGCGTTTGTAGTTTGTAGTGCCGTTGGAAATTTGCGTATTTTGCTCGTATCTTAGCCGTTGTTTGAAAGGCGTTGAATTTGCTTCCATTCGACTCGAAATCAAATTTTCTATCGAATGAAAGCCAATTCAACGTTTTTTCAAAAAGATTCGGTCAAGATACGAGCAGAATTCGTAGCAAACGGATCAAAAAAAGGGGCGGGAGTTAACTTAGCTGCTCGTAGGTGTTCCCCAGACCAACCTGCCCAAACAATTCGTGTCACTGTCTTGCAAAAGTCTGTCAGATCTCTAGAACAATTCTCAGCATATCTCATCCAATAGTTCTCCACACATTTCAGTGCACAGTTTCGATTTTTTTCACATCTACGTTTTGAAATAGAAAATAAAACGCTTTGTACTGACCTGGAAATTCCCAACGTAATATTGATGTCCACCGCTTCTATAAAAACAAGAAGTTTGAATTGAGTCAGGAATAAAATCTCCAGAAAAAAGAATCTCCAGAATCTCCAGAAAAAAAAGCTCTTATGCTACCTCTTATGCAATCCACGTAGAATCCCTCCTTCATCTGAAACGTTTACATAGTTTAAAATAAAATGGTGTCTGATCTAACTATTCATTTAAAAATTCATAATCAACATACTGCAAATTGGAAAAACAGTGAAAAAAGGAGAGATTTACCAAAAAATAGGCACATCTCAATGAATCAGTTAGACATGGCCACGAACAAGTGAGATTCATGGCATGGCAAATACAAGTAAAGCACAAATTGAATTGAGATGATCGAACTAAAAATTGACGTACAGAGCATTGCCCTACAAGAAAATACAAACTTTTTCCGAAAATTCCCTCAATCTTCGCAGAAAGATTCAAGTGATAACCATTGTGGATCTGTGAAAAGAGAATTTTCTCAAATATGAAATCTTTTCCCTGTGTCAGAGAGCGCAGGTGCCAAAAATGGTTTTGCCTCAGGCGTCACACAACAAGATGAAGTTGATTTTTTGATGATTTTGTGAATCAGAAAGTCATGCAAGGGGTCATGCATCGGCCAGTGAGCTCAAAATCCACGTATCACGAGAAAAACACTTTTGAATTCCTCTATCTTCATCACAAATCTTTTTACATTTTGTTTCTATCAATTTGTTTTGTTCTTTTAATGTTTTAGCCACAATTTCAGTTTGCATTGTTGGATTCGCTGTGTCAAAAAGCTTCAAAATATGACTAATTTTTAAATGAGAAAACCCTCTTGTTGCTGCTTTACCAGGACCGACTTTTTGGGGGTCTCTTATATTCAACAAGATCCTAATATCAATACAAATTAATAGAAAAAAAGTAGAAAGATTTGTGGTGAAATAGAGGAATTCAAAAGTGTGTTTTTCATGTAATAGTTATACGTGGATTTTGAGCTCCCCGGCCGATGCATGACCCCTATTCACAAAATCATCAAAAAAAATCAACTTCATCTTGTTGTGTGAAGCCTGAGGCAAAAACATTTCTGGGCAACACGACGAGCCTTGTAAAATCAACGAGAAAATTTTTCCAGACTCAAACCGATGACCACTTTTTTGTCGGACACTCTGTATAAGGAATGAAAAGAAATGGAAGAAAAGAAAAGGAGGTAGATCTAAGGATAAAAGGAAAAGACTCCAAGTATAAAGTCATATAAAGTCAAGTCATTCGTTCACCTCAAAAATCGATCCATTATTTCTGTCGACCATATCTCGACACTCACTTTTGTGGGCACTACAAATTGTAGATATTTTGACGGAAAATCAGAGATTAGGTAATATTGAAAATTAGGTAATAAATTCGCCATTCAAAATGGAACCCACTCCGATTTTTGGCACTTGTTTGTGTAGTAATGACTAAAATGATTTTGAAAACACATTTGTTTTGTAAAGACTTACTTGCAATGTTTTCGTGAAAAGAGGCTAAAAATCACGGATCCAAGACAAAAAGAAGCAATGAATACGATGAAGGCGAAATAAAAAAGTTTTCTTTGATGAGCTAGTTCCTTATCGTTGGCATTTGACCCATTGTCGTCTAGCGAATGAGCCGAATCTTTTGAAAGACTAAATGTTTCGATGGGACACTTGATGTGCGGCTCTTGCCATTGGCAATCCAACTTTGAGCTCAAACATCTTGGTGTTGAGCTGTTCAATTTAAATCGTTTTTGGACCAATCGATAGAGAAAGACTTGGCGCATCCAATGATACCAAAAAGCTTTATATTGTACAGCCCAACATCAAGTTATTTGAGCTCAAAGTTAGATTGCCAATGGCAAAAGGGGCGGGGCCCGTATAAAATGTCCAATAGCCAAATGTTTTAGCTGACTAGATTCTTTTGATATGCTTTTTTGGTTCAGATCTAAATATTGCTTAATATAAAATTAGATTTAGTTAAATTTAGAAAGTTAAAGGATCACCTGTGTTTCTTGCATAATCCAGACAGTCAAGACTGAATACTCTAATCCAGACTGAATACTCTAATCTAGACTTAATACCATAATCTAGACTAAATACCGTACTCGAGCTATTTTAGACTGAATATCCTATTCTAGATTAGACCGTAATCCAAACAGTCTAGACTGAATACTCTATCTAGACTGAATACTTTAATCTAGGCCAAATACCGGAATCTAGCTATTCTAGACTGAATCGCCTATTCTGTTTTAGCTGACTAGATTCTGTTGATATACTTTTTTGATTCAGATCTATTATTGCTTAATATAAAATTAGATTTAGTTAAATTTAGAAAGTTAAAGGATCACCTGTGTTTCTTGCCGATATTCGTCATCGACAAGACGTTGTTCACGTATTTATTCATTATGAAGCAGGAATTTCTCGATTCTGAAGAATTGGGGGAATGAATTGTGGCAAAAAGTCAAATCAAATAGGTAGAATCGATAGAAACAATTATGTCAAAAAAATTTTCAATAGAGAAAAAAATTTATTGTTGAATATAGGGTTCCGACAACGTGGTATCATAGCATTTTTTCACCATCGACCAATAAATTCGAGCGTCATTGCTGTTTTTTGGCGAACATCCTTCGGCACCTAAGGGCTTTTCTTGATTCTTCTACAGTCGACTCTCAATTTTACGATTCGAAAGGGACCAAAAATCTCGATTTAACGATTCTAACGATTCCAAAATTTGCCCTAGACGAGTGAGGATTGTGTTTGACCGGGCAGCTATGCAAAATTAGCTCTTGTAGCATTAAAATCTGTCCTTTGGGTTTGGGGTTTGCTCCGCTTCCATATTTTACCCACTCAAGTTCCTATTGGTAAAAAAAGGAACAAAGTTTTTTCTTAAGGACAGATTTTAATGCTACAAGAGCTAAAGGAAAATAAAAAAATTGATTTGATAATCAAAAAGTTAGCTTGTACGCAAAGAATTTCAGAATTCGCAACCGTTAACTGAAATAAAATCTTATTTTCGATTATCTTTTCTTCGTTAATGTTTTATTTATTGAAATATGGGTGGGGAAATGGAAAAATATGTATATTCGTATTAGTTTCGTTGAAATCAAAAAGGCAAAAAGGGGAGAACTCGAGGGGAGAACTCGAACTCGATGAAAATCTGCATAGCTCACTTTCTATATACTTCTATATTTCGATATTTCTATATAGCATCTTATCCGCTAGGCCATCAGCTCATTTTCTGGTCACACAAGAAAAGCTTTTTAACCGAGATGTTGAAAACTTCTCTGCTAATTCGATTTAACGATTTTAACGATTCCAAAATTCTTGTGTAGCTGCCCTGAGCCGGTGAGACTTGTGCTTGACCGAGCAGCTACGCAAAATTTCGAGACACTTTTTGGAATTTCAAAATCGTTGCATCGAAAGTCGACTGCATTAGTCGACTTCTTCCATTCTTTTATTTTGATCGAGGTTTGATTTTTGATGTTTTACGCATGTTTAGACTAAGAAGTAGACTTGAAAGCAGAATCTAACTAGAATAAAACCCACCAAATTGATAAAGATGGGTCATCGCTTCACAGAAATGTTTCCCCATGCACCGATGGCGATACTTGTCGTAGAGAGCTTTCACACACTTCATCGCACAATCGCGATTCCTGGTACACCTGTCAATGGGGATTTCGTTTGATAATTTAAGGAAATTGTATCGTATGTAAATTTTACTCAAATAATTCTTAAGTATTAGGTTGGAACCAAAGTTTTCATCGTTTTCAGAGAGACTTTTTCATCGTTTTGTTTAAAAACGTTCAATCCATCAATTTACTTTCGGTTTGCTTTCTTAAAAAGCATGATTATGTTTCTACAAAATGGCTAAAAATATTACAAGAAATTTTGGTTTTTAAAGTTGAACAGAAGTCCTGAAGTTGAACACTCAAAAAATGTGATATCTAGATGTGATATCAAAAAATGTGTTTGATATCTAGATTTCTGTTAAGATAACCTATTTTAGTATCTAAACAAAAAAGATAGAGCATAAAAAGTCATGAAAATGACTAAATTTTCAGAATGATCCTTCCATTTGTTATCATAATAAGTGGATTTTTGGAATTTCAGGAAAAATGCGCTCTTTTCATCAGTTTTACCATAAACCCCACTCTAAATGGGCATAAAAAGACGCAAAAACTAACGACAAACGTTTTTTATTGAGAGCGAAGTGTACGTTGATTGATGGATTGAGCGTCTTTAAACAGAAATATGAAAAAATCCTGAGGATTTGTGTTCCAACCAGTCGATTCACCTCATAAAAGCGTATTCCCCCGTTTCCTCGCCTCGTCTACCTAAAAATTGATCATATCCCTGCAAAATTAGAAATACAATTAAAGATTTGAAGATTTGTGATTACACCTAATAACAAATTATGAAAAATGGATAGAAATTACAGCTACAGAAGTTTACGAGAGCCACAGCAATGATAAAAATTATATTTTTTGTTGCTTCGCTAGATTTCAACAAGAGTTTCTTTGCTAGTATTAACAGCTTATCATGTCTATTCAAGCTATTCAACTTCAATACAGTAAAAGCTGTAACAGTAGCTCCGTATTGCCGCGTAGCCGCTAACTTTAAACGCTTTGTTCTTTGCGCTGTTTTAAGCTATAATATGCGCTTATATCTCACCGCTAAATCTTCTATTCTTTGGTGAAAAAAGTAAAATAAAAAGGCATTTGGGTGACGAGATAAAAATGATTGTAGGACAAGTACGACTACGCGATACAATTGTACTATAAGAGGGACTACGGACTACTAAGAAAGCCTTTGCCAAGATTTAAACTGGAATTTCTTAAAACGAATCCACCAAATTCAAGAACATTTTGTTCTATTATTTGTAGAAAAGCGTCCAATGACAAATTTGCCGGAGAAATATCGACTATCGCTTATTCAAGCGCTTGTTAAATGAGTTGTATAAGTCCAATCGGGAAGCTTTTGGTAGATAGATGTTGCCAAGAATTAGGGCTACAATTCTCTATATAACATTTGCCACTTTTCAAATAAATTAGACATTTCCCAGATACTTTTCCAAAAAGTTGTCCCTATACTTTGCAGTACTATTCTCCAGCTTAAATTCAGCTCACTTTTTGCACCAGAAAAACGTTTTCTTATGAGGTAAAGCTAGCATAAATGAGCAATAGGTCTATAATCTCGATTTTTGGTCAAAAATTTTTAACAGAAAAGCCGTATCTCAAATATTTTTTGGTGTCATCTTCTTGGTACTGAGTGTTTGCTAAAATTTCTGAAAAGTGAAAGCATTAAATAGAATTTGGATCATTTGCAAATTTTCCCTGTTTTAAGTACTAAATTTTAAGTTTTTAATAGAACCCATTATCTATCCATTAACCAATTAAAGACTTGTCTAAAGGCTGGCCACACAAAAAGTGACCGAATCACTTCAGCTAAAGAAATCTCTTATTTTTTTGCCTAAAGCCCATTCTGATTCTCTGTCAAAAACCTTTATGAAATATCGTCAAGTTTATCAAAAAATCTGGGAAGAATTCATAACTTGGTTTTCGAGAAATTGCTATTCAAAATTTGTGCAGGAACTTTCTTGCCAGACTAATCTTACAGCTTTTACGGTAGCTCCTAGAATAAGGTTTGGCACAGCAACGTTACCCGGCATTCCACACAATATAAAATGGTTGTATTCCATCTGAATTTTCAGTTTTTTTCGCATGAGAGTATCAGTGTACCCTGAAATAGCCACAACTATTATTGACTTCCGGTGAGCATGGATAGTTGCATCGAGAGGAGCGCTCACAGATACAGTTCAAGCACTTCTCGACATGTGTGTACGTGACTGTAATTTTGTTTGGTTTATGGAAACGAAACTTTTGCACTATACCCCTTGGTTTACTTTTAAACTGATAACTCAATTCGAATTCAAAGTAGAGAACTAATTTCCGGTATTGATTAGAGTGAGCTCCTCTTGATTAAAACTGTGAAATAGAAAACTAATTACCGTAGAAAAAAGCTAAATATCTTGCATACTTTCAACAATTTTCAAGATATTCCGTCTATTTTTATCGTAATCCATTTTTTATTTCACACTCTAACCAAGAAGACCTCACTCTAGAGTTGATAATGGGGTATAGTGCAATTGTTTCGTGGAAATTTTACCATTCTCAATTATTGGACTCTGGACGTTACATGGAGCACTGAAAAGTAGTTTTGCAACAAATTTATACAATAATAAATAAAATAAACAATAATACAACAACAATAACAAAAACATTCCTGTTACCTGATGTCATTACATTCGAAATGGAGTTTTTTGTGGAAGGAGCTAAAATTTTGAGAGATTCTGTGGTGACTACCCAAGTTCAAGTGCTTCAGATGATGTTCAAGTGGCTAAAAAATGGTGGAACGGAATTACCCAAATTTCCTGAACCATTTGCACCTAACCATTCTAAATCACTTGAGCTTCGCTAGTCGCCAGATAATACTACTGAGCCACGTTCATTTTGACTAAAAGAACTTAGATTTTTGTTTAAAGTTCTTACTATCTTTTCAAATCATTTTCTTATTAATCAGGAACCGAAGGAAATCAAATTTAGCTCAATCAGTTCACTCTTCACAAAGTTATGGTTAAAAACACAAAATTTTATGGTTTTATGGTCATAAATTTGTGAGGAATTGTTCGATTGAGCTGAATTTGGTTTCATTCGATTCCTCATTGAATTTTGAACAAGATACAAGCAAAGGCAAATGATTTGATGAAAAATGAAAACGTTTAGGCAAAAAAACCCGAAGCTCCGCCCCCTTTTAGGCAAAATGAGCCGATCTCATGCTACTGAATGCTATAAAAATGGTTGCCTGCAAGTTAGAACGGCCATCACGTCGAGCACCATCAATCCCAAGGAAGCAGCACACAAAATTGCCATTAATATCAAGAGTTTTTTACGTAAATCATCCCGAGTTGCACAGTCCTCACTAAAAGGAGAAAAATTGAGAGTGCTACATCAGAAAGCTTGCCCAGACTCTTCATTTCCGAGTTGCTTCAACATTTCTTTGTACGATGAATGCCACACTTTGATGGGTGAGAGTTTTGGGAATAGAAACTTTTAGGAATTTTTGAGAATAGAAGGTAAAGCTGTCAAACACTTGCTTATCTAAAAAACGTATCACAAAGTTGGTAGAAAACTCAGATAAATAGAAATCAAACGAATGATTAGTGGAGAAGCACCAGAAATCAGAGCTCAAACTATCTTAAGTCTTTATTTTTGCTCAATCGATAGCTTATAAAGTATGCAAAATATTGTGAGTCCGTCGTTGGCTCAATTTCTGGAGTTCAGCATCAATACTTGCCAGCAACTGAAATGGATTGATTTTACGAATGACGATTACGATTTTAGGATCATACAAATTCCGCTCTTGTCGGAGTTTCTCCCAAGTTTGTGAGTATATTCTGCCGAAGTTAGAGTGAATCTTTTTCTCATTATTATCTTTAATGATGTAGTCTGAATGTCTTTAATGATGTAGTTTCCGCTACAAATAGGGATCACCGCTTCTCCCTTTCAGGAATAGTCTCTAAATATCGGAAAATGTTACTCTTTCTGCTTTTTTTATCAGTCTTCGTCTATAGAAAGTAATAAAGTAAAGTAAGGAATGGCAAAGAAAAATTTCTGGAGGGGATTGAACCCTCGATCTTTTTACTTTCCGAGCAGATGCTCCTACCACTGGGCTAACCGTTATCTTCGGTAAAAGAAAAAAGGAAATACAAGGGGGAAGAGAAAGAAAGAAAGTGAAGAAAATACCCGACTCTAACACAAAAGCCAATGTCTTTAAGTTTCTAAACATTAAAAGCTATTCAAACTTGCCTCGGGGTTCAACCGTTGAAGGTGATTTCTCATCACTTCCACACATTCCTTCATTGGACAATTTCAAGTTAAAATCCGAACTCTAACCTCGAAAGTCGGTCGTTTCTTCTTATTCTTGAGCATGCCGCGTTCAAGCAGGTCTTGTCTAAATTTTTTTTCTTTACATACAATACGGTAAAATACATTTCGTGATGACAACGTTGAACGAGCACTTCATAGCTATTTTTCTTTTGAACACCCTCAAACACAAATACGGCAATTATAAGTTGATGATAGGCCCAAATGTCTGACTGAAAAGCTTTAAATTCATCAATGTCGATGACTTAGAGAACTCAACGGCTACGGAGAATCGCCTGTACTCTCGAGCTGACGGACTCATTATGTTAATGGGTAGTCCTTCTAGGCCCGCGGCACTAAAACTCGGATTGCATATTTCCAAAAGAATGAAATCTGAAAGCAAACCTGTAGTGTGTATCTTCCAACTTTTTTGCTAATCCGAAATCGGCAATTTTAGCTATCAAAACATTGCCACTTTTGAGCAAAAGAACGTTCCTTGTCGCCAGATCTCGGTGACAACACTAAACATTACGATTCATGGTTCACGGTTAACAGCTAGTTCATGAGTAGGCTACAAACTACAAAGGTGAACTACAAACGCTTCTAACTTGCTTCAAATCTGTTGAATTGACATGATCTACACAGTACTGTAGTCGAAGCGATCGAGTCAGGCTACAAGCTACTGTAACTTTCTTTTGCATTGATATTTTTTGCCTGTGCTTTAGTCCATTCAAAAGCTCTTGAGTTTCTCTATTTTTTGAGCTATTGATCTTTCTTGTCAATCCGGCAGATTCAAAGCAAGATGCAAGTGTTTGTAGTTTACGCTTGTAATGTCCATGTCTACCGGATAGAGTGTGTTCTTCTCAAGAAATAATGTGAAATAGGAAACGGGCTACGGTGGATATAAACTGAAAATCTTGCAAATTGTAGAAGATACTCAAGATATTCAGTTTCTATCTACCGTAGCCCGTTTCCAACACTATCAACCAAGAGGTTCCCACTCAAGTACCGGATTGGTCTGTTCTTACTCTTGGAAGTACTCACAGGGATTTTGCTCAACGCCAGCATACCAAGGGCTATCTGGTATAAAAGTGCTGTAAAAGTGGTCGTTGAATAAAATGCAACTAAAGAAAAATTGCACAAAGTAAGATCTAGAGGAAAAAAAACATTGAAATAACATTGATACTTGCCTTCTTTTGGTCCGAATCCCGCATTGTGTTCAACCTGAAAGCTTCTCTTATCTAGAGTTATACTTGAAGCCAAAATTCCACGTCACGCTATACTCATAGTCAAAATTCGGGTTTTTTCAACGATGAGCTACATTGTATCCACAAAAGTTCAGGCAATTAGTAGGCTTACGACCTTTTGGCTTCTAGAGACAACCCTGTTGGCTCTTAGCCACACTGACAAACCATGTAAACATATAAACGGTAGCTTAACAAACCATGTAAACAGTTCGATATTGGTCAAAGTCATTGTACAGGTCGATTTCTCGAAACTGGAACTTGTCCTGGTTTTTAAAAATTTTACTATTTCCACTCACACATTCGTTGTTGAAAGTTTCCGTTTTAGCTTTGGAAAGCCATTTAAACAAGCTGGTGTCGCACAGCTCCGTGAGGAGACAAATGTTCTTTCTAAAACAACAAAGAGTCACAAAAATATCTGTTTGACTAGCCTATTTTCTTCCCCCAAATCGCCAGCTATATAGAAGAGCAAGTTGGGGTGAAAATGTTTTGAGGTAATGTAGGCCATGATCTTGATTTCCTTCACCATTGATTTGTAATTTTCTTCGTGACGATCTCTTCTTGGCTGCTAGAAATTTTTAGAAGTCAAAAAGTTGTTTACAGGGTGTTCGATAAAAAGTATTTTATGATTTTTGAACTTTAAACAATTCTTGATACGTTGTGATGTCAAAAGTTTAGGTATTTTGGTGGTTGGGTGGGGTTACTTTTGGTTTGCTGAGTAGAATCTAGTGTTTTGAGCGGTTCGTCTCGATACTTTTTTATTTTAAAGAAAGAGATATATGCTGAAGCAATTGGTGCTAATTTTTTTTTGCTAATTTATCTAATTTAATTTTTAATAATCCTATTAGATGATTTGCCCTGTGCCCTATCTTGCTATACTTTAACCACCGAATCTTAAAGCTGATTACACTTAGAAAGCTGCAATACCAACTTGAAACATGTTGGAAATACTCTAAAATAAACACCAATTGCTTCACCGTATATAATTATAATAGAAGAAAAGTATCGACACGAACCGCTCAAAATACTAGATTCGACGAAGTCAAGCCAAAAGTGGCCCCTCTCAACTAGACATGGTTATCGGATCGGATCGGGTTAGGACCGATTGGATTCGATCCGTTCCGTTCAACCGATCGGATCGGGTTAGGACCGATTGGATTCGATCCGTTCCGTTCAACCGATCGGATCGGGTTAGGACCGATTGGATTCGATCCGATCCGTTCAACCGATCGGACTAGCCCGATCCGATCCGATCTGAACAATTCGGTTTCCAGATTAAATTAACATTTTACATTGCAATTTACAAAATACAAACGAAGGCTCTGTTTTCAATTTTGCGCTGCTTTCTGTTAACGAAAGCCGTGTTTTCGATTTTGCAACCAAGCACACAAATTACTCCTACGTGATATTTACCGTCCAAGCGACAAAAACATTCGTATCTTGCTTGTAATTTTTAATCCATTGTCTATTTGCTTTTTTTAGTTTACAAGAGTTTTAATTCCATCTTTCTAGTATGGGCGGCGAAGGTTGAATTTATCAAGAGTTGAAACAATTGAATACTAATCAATTTGATTTCTGAACGAGAAACTAGAGTTTTGCAGCAGTTCTAAGCTGAGATAACACATTACCGCCCGATCCGATCCGATTTTCCAAAAAACCATGTCTACTCCCAATCACCAAAGCGCCAAAGTTTAATCACTTTATATTTTATTGCACTTTCTTTTCACCATTCACAACACATAAGCATTTTTTAAATGTAGATCCATGAACATGAGTTACAATTTGCTTTTCGTAAAACCAAACCTTAACGGCACACTCGACTCCTCCGTAACTCGCCTTATATGCGAATCCATAGTGACCAGAGCCCAACTAAATCATAAGTAAGTAGCACTAATACTTCTGATAAAATGTCTGGTACTTATGGAGTATCCGGGAAAGTTAATTTTCAATTCTTTTGCCATAAGGCCTATCAAAAATGTCTTCGTTTTAAAAACGGTTTCTTTGATTCTATTCAGAATTTTCCTTTCTACCAAATGAGCTATTTCTTTGCTAATTTAGCTTTCTAAAACTAAAACTAGTAAATCTAAAGCTAATTTAACTAGTTAAAAAGTTATGCCTCGCCATTGGGTTAGATTTATTAATACCATTCTCTTTTCGATGTTCTCATATTTGAAGGCCTCCTCGAGGTGATCGATCTCGATTTTCCCATCAAGCAGATCAAAATTAACTCTATCTACTGGTCGCAGAGTTATCGTGTCGATGTTCTGTATGATTCAAAAAGATAAAAAATAATATCAATCCTACGTTATCAATTCTCTTTTGAGCATTCTCGTCCTCCTCCAATAAAGGACACATCGCCTGGAGCATGTGTGCCAACGATGCGCCTCTTGACCTCCTTGGCCCTTCCTCCTCGTCCTCCTACAAAGAAAAACGTTATTGTAAAATTTTCGATCTTTTCTTAATTTTAAAAGCTCAACGTTTTTGAGGGGGAAACCTTTCTGACTTGCCTCTGGCCTATAGTTGCCAGCATCTCTGGAGTCGTCGTTTTCTGTTCTTGAAAAAAATATTATGTAAATGTTGTGTCCGCTTTGAATTCAAATCATCGCGAACGTCTGATTTGAACTGAAACAATGCTACATTTGCTTTCTTGTGCCTTTTTTATATTTCCTTTTATATTATTTTTCTTTTTATTTAAAAGTTTATTAATTGTGTTATTTTTCAGGCAAAGAAAGCTGCCCGAGGATCTCGACGATGAACGTGATCGAGGCAACAGTTGAAAACGGTACACTTTGACAAGTTTTTCGTCAAATTAACGATGATAAGTTACTTATTCTAACTATTTTTTTGTTTAGGTGATCAAACGGTGCTCGGAATTGAACAGGAAGCGCTAACATCATCAAATACTGTTTCATCAAGTACGCTAACCTCACTGTTTATGTACTAGCGGATGTTCATCACATCGATGTACCTGCAAGGAAAATGGCTTGCTATGCAATTCCAGATGTCACCATAGTTTCAGCTTCAAGAACAAATGATGTACAGCTGAATGTACAGCTGAATGTACAACTGAATGTACAGTTGAATGTACAGCTGAATGTAGAGCTGAATGTAGAGCTGAATAAATTGTTTCTATCTTGTAATAGTTAAAAGACGTAAAAACATTGAAAAAACACGTAACAGCAGTGCTTGTTGATGTATCAATCCAAACCGGACGTCCGCAGTGATTTGAATCCAAAGGGGACACAACATATAGATTTCAATATTCGTTTAACAAAAAAATGTGCTTTAACTTTTTAAAGCAAAATATATGAAATTGCTGTAGCGAAGTTCTTCGGCTCAAAAAACACAGTTTTTCATCTACAAACACCTAATATTTATTTCTCTATTCCCCTATTCACAAGGGAAGGTTAACCGGGTAGATTCGCCAAATGGCATGATGACAGACAAATGGCAGACAATTCGACGCAGAATTTCACTCTGAGTTCAATGCTGCTATTCGTTTTTCGTTATGAAGCACTTTACAAAAAAATTCCATAGCAAAAACGGATAGCGGCAAAGGAATCAGCGTGAAATTCTGCGTCAAATGGTCTATGACTTCTCCCATGGGGACAGTCTACCCGGTTGGCCTTTCCTTGTCAACAGTATTTTGCAAACTTTATCTAACAAACAAGAGTATTTGAAAAGATGAGCTTAAAGGGGTAAAATCACGTCTTTTTTGCGTCAGCACATTTTGCTGTCAACACATTTTTGTTCGATAACAATGAAGGGCTTACCTTTTTCGACTTATCCGTTGCTTAAAGCGACACCCAAAGATAACGATAGCAGAGAAAAAGGTGGGCATAAAGAATAACAACAACGACCCACTGATCACCACCTACATGAGGATTTCTGATAGCTGGATGACCCACACTTATAGCGACATAGTATTTTAGCTGTACAAAAGCGTACTTATCTCATAAAAACTTTCAAAAGCAGATAAAATTCAGTCAGATAAAGAAAAAGGCAAACACTCTTTTTGAAGGAAACTTTTTCGACAGAAAAAAAGAGTTTCAATTCGCTATAGTTGTGGACCACCGATTTTTTTTTATCGCTTGGCTCACCGGACGCCAAAAGTTAGCATCAATCGGGTCGGACGAGTAGTTTTGCGAGACAGTACCTTGCAGCTCCGGTGTTATTGAGATTCTTCTGAATTTTCTTTGAAAGATTTTCAGTTGCAAGTTTCTTTCGTTCCACCCGAAGGTTCAACTTTGGATAAAAAAGAAACGAAAACAATGGACCCGACTGGAAAAGAGGCTTTTTTTGATAAAAAAGCTTTATCGACAGGGTGGGATTAGGTGAACCAATAAAATTTTAAGTGTAGAGATCGGTACGTTAGAAGACAAGTCAAATTCCGCCTTTGCTTTCTTGACAAAGGCGGAATTGGTTGACCAATTGGTGGCAAAGGCCTTGACCGATCATCATGAAATTTTGCTCACTGGTAGAGATTAACGTTATCAATATGTGGACAAAATTTTAAGCAAATCAGTCAAAGGATGGTCTGGAAAATGAAGGTGGAGTTAGATTTGAATCGTACTTTGGAACAGATTTTTTAAAAGCTCCACAAACATTGCTAACTCACATTGTTTGACTATAACTTCGGGTGGGATTTGTTGAAAGAAGAGTCGTCACTGAAAATCCCAAATCGCTCATCGGTTTCTATAAACGTTGAACTTTTGAATCTTTTTCGAAAGTGCAATAAGCAAAAACAATCAGCTTCCAAAAAATAATTAAAACAAAAGTTTTCCTTATAATAGTACGCTAAAGAAATTTATTTAATGTAAAAAATTTGTAAATTTATATTTATAAAGTAAAAAGGCATATAAAAAAGTACTTTCTAAGGTGCTTTTAGGCATTTTTAAGGTGCTTTCGTTTTAAGTTGCTTAAAATTCTTAAAGAATTTGCATATATTTAAAGGAAATTTGAATGAGAAACAAGAAGTTTTCCAAAATCACCAAACTAGTGCAACTTTAGCAAAATTTAATGCGTAATATGCACGTTTTGAGCTAAGTTTTGAGCTGAACTGGGGTAAACAAGGAAACGCAAAACAAAACAAGACAAGGTAAGCGAAAACAAGATAAGCGCGCGTCGTTTTTGAAAGATTCGTCATTTAGTTTTTTTTTAATTTATGGAAAAACAGTGTTAGTATTTAGAATAATTATGATCACTGTTTTTACAAGGAAACGCAAAATATATTTTTCCAGAGGTTTTAAGTTCTTTTCAACGTTTAGAAAATGAGTTTTCAAGTTTTCAAGCAATCGTAACAGAGTTTATCAATCGATTTTTGTCTAAAGCCATCTCTCTAAAGTCTAAAATTTTCTTAATAAAGAGATTTGACAAGATCTTTATGTTTTATGTTCATTTTGTGCCCGATGACCGACTAGTTAGGAGTAGAGATGGACTAAAAAGTCAACAAAGGCCAACAAAGGCCAATAAAGACTGGCGAATAAAGATTGGGTAAAATAAATAAAACAGTAAGTTATATCATTTTAAAGAACTTATGTAACTCTACAAAATAGTAAAATAGTATTTTTCTTATCACCATTTAGCGTATGGGTGTTGCGTTGAGTTGTGCGTTTGGGGTATTGTATTATGTCCATTTATAAACATAAAATTTGTGATAAAAATTGTGTGCGGTTTCATATAGACGTTCAATTTTGAACATCAATCATCGAATAAACTGTAAACTTTGTGGAGCTTTGTATTTTGGATGTTGATGATTGAGTGAGTTGAAGTGAAGAGATAGGAAGAACAATAGAACTATTTTGGTCATTTGATGCAAAATACTTTTTGGACATTTATCTGACAGCGCTGTGAATTTATCCTCTGTGTACCAATTAAATTTATGATTAGATGCTAATTGATGCTTTGCAAGTTTTCCGGAACTTGAAATGTGCGAGCAAGCACTGAATTACCAAATACCTATAAATTGAATGCAAATTGTAAAGTGGGTTTGTACAGGGCGACTAAAAAAGTATTGTCGCGCTTTTCGCGACGCGATCACCAAGAATTGTGAACATAAAAACTAATAATCTGATATAGCACCGGACCGGTTAACGGTGCTTTTAGGGTTTTACAATATGGCCTTTCTATTGCAAAAGAAAATAGCTCGATATCTCCACCCATTCTCCATAAAACTTCTTTTTGGGGGGTGGATAAAGAAATATGAAACGGACTGTAGTAAGGTACACTTTTATTTCATTATACGTGCATATAATAGTAAGCGAGTCTTTTTTTCGATCGTAATAGGGCCGGAATTCTTCGAAAAAAACCCTAAATGAATGTATAAAGGTTTTTTTGTTCACAAATTCTTTAGAGAAGTGATTCAATGATTCGATTGTTTGCCGAGCTTGTCGAGTATTCCAGTTGCTTTATATAAAATGAAAAGGATTGAAAACAAGAAGATTCCATCCTTCATTATCAGTCTAAAATGCGCAAATGATTTCTTTTCTTGACTTATTCTGTCATTGGGATTTTTGCAGTAAGTTATTCAATCTCAATTTTTCAATTTATAGAGAGATTTGATTGTATCTTTTACAATAAACCATTTAAATTCTAAGATTAGAGATAGAGATACACTACTGGACAATGAAATATCATATTTGAAAAACGATCATCACTTTGTAGCTCCCTTGTCTTTAAGTTTAAACTATTAGTGTATTAGTAACAAAAATGTAGTACATGAAAAAGTAACAAAAACAGTAACAATAATGAGCAAATCCAATTTCAGTAGCAAATCCTTTAGCGTCGATTACAGCTTGACATCGCATAAATACTGAAATTTCCATCGTGTGCTCTGGAGCTTTCTCATTATTGTTATTGTTTTTGTTACTTTTTCATGTACTGCATTTTTGACAAACTTTGATAACAATTTTACAAATATTGATTATTTAAACATTTTTGGTAAATTTTTGGCAAAAATCAAATATGATATTTTGTCCAGTACTGTAATTCCTGTTTTGTAACCTGTTCAAACGACACAAGAACTCGTCCAAACGACACAGGAACCCGTTGAAACGACACAAGCACCCATTCAAACGACACAAGCACCTGATCAAACGACATCTACTCCGATTGTACCGGAATGTCCCAAGAATTCAGAAACTTGGAAAGCCACTTGCTATATGGTAATTTTTAGAAAGATTTATTGAACAATATTGAACATTGAACAAGACATTGAACCAATTATTAAACCTTCGAGCAGAAAAAGGAATTTCCAGCTTTATTAGAGTTTTAATATTTATTATAGCAATTTTTTGAAAGACTAACTATAAATGAAAACTTAGGTGATGACTGAAGACATCGGGATCAATTTTTGGGACGCCGAACGAAAATGCAATGATTGGACTATGGAAGGACATCTTGCCTCAATTGATTCCGAAAAAGAAAACAAATTCGTCACGGGTAAACAAGAGAATTTTTTTTCAATTAAAAGCTTTTTAGACCTTGCTGTAAAGAAAAATATTGACAAAGAGCAGCCATGGATCGGTGGAATGATAGTTAGTTCGAATAGGTTAGAACAGAGCAACATTACTTTAGTCAGAAGTAATCGGCGGCTGGACCTGGACCGATTTTGATCCGTTCGCGGATTTCGCGGGTTACCTAACCAATGTCCCCGCTGGTCAAGGTCTAGATTGCCTTCAAGTAATTTTTTGATTTGGTTTTGTTTTAAGTAAAACGTGTTTAAAGATTTTTAAATCTACATACAGTTGACTCTCTCTATAACAGAATTCTATATAACGGAAAACTCTATATAAAGGAATGGAATTTTGGTCCCCGCCGACGTTAAGCTATATAAAACGGCACTCTAGATAACGGAAAGATCTATATAATGGAGAAATTATTTGGTCCCTTTTATTCCGTCATAGAGAGAGTCGACTGTACCTGTTTAAGTAGATTAACTCATTCACGATAATCCAACTCACTGGTGGGCCGTACTAATGACGATTATTTTTGGTCTTAACTCAAGTTTTTGAGTGCTTTTGTTATTTATTTTGCAGAAAGTTCTCGGTAATTTTGTACTAGTTTTCAAGAGGAGATTCAGCGCTATCGAATGAGCTATAATAGTTTAGTTTATCATTGAATCTTCAAATCAGTAAAACAGTAACGACTACACGACTACCTAAGCCAGATTCCTCGCGTTTACGTGATATTTGCAGGGGAAGATCGACTGGGTGATAGACCATTCGACGCAGAATTTCACACTGATTCCGAATATGCTTTCCATTTTTGCAAAATGGCATTCTATCAAAAGATATGAGCGCTCTAACTTTTACAAGAAATTCTCGATTTCCAACGAAAAAAAGATGAGCGACATTATAGTCGAATTTACCGCAATACACAAACGGAAGTCGTGGTGAAGTGGCAGTGAACTAGAATATGAAGTAGAGGCTCTCTGGTTCGGGTCTCTGCCAAGAATGTCTCTTTTCTGTCATTGTTAATTTATCTTGTTTTCATTTGTTCAAATCAATTTTTTTGTGTGAAAATAGAGTAAAAGAGGATTGTATTTGGAAAGGAGAACACTCAAGTTGGTTAAAGCAAAAAGCTTTAACTTTAAAGGTTGAAGCAAAACAAAATAAAATATTCTTTGTGGGGAGTTGAATCAGAGAGCTTCCTACTTTGTATTTTAGTTCACTACCACTTGTCCAGGGCTTCCGTTTTCTTCATCGCAATCAACTCGACTATGATCTCACAATAAACGACGACAATAAACTTACCTTTTTTCGTTGGAAATATAAAATTCTTTGTAAAAGTTAGAGTGCTCATAACTTTTTAAAGGGTTCCATTTTGCAAAAAAGGGAAAGCAGATTCGGAATCAGCGTGAAATCCTGCGTCGAATGGCATAGATTACATTTTGATCAGTTATCTGGGCCAGACAACCTTCCCTTGTGAGTTATTTTTGTGCTTTTAGTTATCGAGCAACAACAACAACTCTCCAGCTGATTTTAAGTTGGGAAAATGGATTGCAAAGGCCTGTGAAGCAAGGTCGAAAGTTTTCGTCTGCAAAAAGCCACTCATATAACCGGAAAAATCAAAATTGAAAAAAATTAGAACATTTCTATTAAAATAAACTGTTTTTCTTTGAATAACAAGCAAATTTAATGATCAAATTGTTTAATTATTTTTTGGTTTACTGTGCCTGGTCTTGGAAACAAGTTTTTTCAGTTTACGGTCATCTGTGACACCTATCTATTTGCTATTTTTTGGTACCTATTTTGTACCTATTCGGTAAAAGTAGAACATTGTTAAAATCTTGTACGCCCACATAACTGAACATTTGTTGAAATACCTCGTTTTACAAATCCTTTGCTTCACATGCACACTCATCAGCCTTTCAAAAGCACCTGGCTATAAGTTTTCTTTCTGTAAACAAAGTTTGATGAAAGGTGATCATATTAGAGTCAAAACCAGCTAACAAATTCAACTTTGAGATCTGAAACGATTTGATTCAACCAATGATAGAAGAACCCGATGCCAGGATGTTCTATCATATTCTAAAATCAAATCAAAAGGTTCTCAATAAAGTTGTGATTCCTTTGAAGCGAAAAATCCCTCCAGACGATCTTTCAGAAAGACCGGGCATCAGCCCAGAGCCAAATTCACAGCGGATCCGATGAGACGTTTCAAGGAGAGAATTGCCCAGCAACTTACCG